TACGAAACTCCAAAGTTTGAACGCGTTTATTAAAATTGATTAAGAGAATAGGAAAGATTATTAATAATTTTTAGAGGGAAACACAGCATGTAATGTATTTAAGCTGAGGGGCGCCAATTTATTAAAGTATTAGGGTTCGTACTCAAAAGACGACGTCAATTCCAATTTATAAATTGAAGGTGCAGCTTGGACGGTGAATGTGATTGGTTTATTGAGAAATTCCTCTAAAATTCTACATAAATCAGTATTATATATTTTCTGCATAATATAATAAGTGAGATGGTCAAACAAGATGATAATGTTGAAGTAAAATGACAACGTGCTAAAATAATTATTTCGATAGAGGCATGTTAATAATCATTTTCTTAATATTATTAATAATTTTTAGATAAGGTGTTTAATTTAGCAGATTTTATATTAATATATATATTTTTTAACAAGTAGCTCACGAGCTAACTAATGGAGTGGTTTGAGCTTGTCCTGAACTTGCGGCCGGCATGTTTTCAATTACCATTCTAGTTGGAAAACCTTATTTAGTATGGAGGTTTAAAGTTTATGAAAAGCTAAGAAAAAAATATTCTTTTGGCAAATACTTAAATTTTTTTTAAAATTTATGTTTAAATTTATTTATGCAAACAATAATAATAATAACAATGTATAAATAACGTGTGCACAAGTGCGCACATGTATTGCACAATTTATTAATTAAATTTTTATTGATGCGTGCTAGAAAGTTTGCGACGGTAGAGAATCGTATTATCGCCTTAGTGTGGGACTAAGAATCAACACAAACTCATAAAAGAGAAAACAATTAATAATGACACCAAAAAAATTTATGTGGAAAATCAAGAAAGTGAAAAACTACAGGATTTGATCCCGTTGAAGAGTTTAGCAATAAAAAGATGATTAGAGTTGCAATTATTTGTCCCACAGGCCGAAAATGGTTACTAGGTCTCCATAATTACAATGTCGATGAGCTGATGAATTTGTTGCTAGGAACGAGAGACACTAATATTGATTGCTGGCGTCCGTTCGGTTGTGGTCGATGGTGGTTGGCAATAATCGACAACGGTCGACAGAAATTGATGGTGATCGACAAAGGTTGGCGATGGTCGATCGAGGTCAGTGGTGGTCAATACAGTCAACGACAATCAGTGTAAGTTGACGACGGTTGTCGGAGGTCGACGAAGGTCAGTGGTGATCGACAATGGTGGTGGTGCTGAACTTAGGACTATCAAAAAAGCTCGTTGTTCGCGAACAACTCATGTTCAACTCGTTTGTTAAGTATACGGGTCGAACACAAACACTTTTTTAAAGCTCAAATCATAAACGAGCTGAACACAAACAGTTCTTTGTTCGCTCGTGTTCGGCTCGTTTTAGCTTGAAGTAAAAAAAAAGTTATATAAATATTTATATAATAATATATTGCATATATTATTTACAAAATAATATATTATATATATACTTTTATCTATGTTTAAAAAGTAACAACTCGTTTGTGCAATCTTTTGCATATATTTGATACAGGTTCGAATCCAACATTTTATATCTATTTTTTTCAATTTAAGCCAATTTTGAGTCAGACACGAATATTTAAACTGAGTCGAACACGAACACACTGTTCACGAGCTTATTTCGAACACATGCAATTTCAAACAAGCCAAACACAAGCAAAACTTGAGCTCGCTCAAGCTCGACTCGTTAACAACCCTAGTTTGACTTCATCTCTTTCTCAAAGCTTCAAGCTCTTCCTTAGATTTCAAACTCTCCTACCCCTCATGAGAGGGGTGGGGCTCTACTTATTATATTATGGGTGCAATTAATGCATCAATATGAACCACTTTGAGCGGACGGCCCAGAGAGCTCTTCGATCAGACGGTGTTTGATGGAAATTTGAGTGCCTTAACAGTGTTATAATTGAGCAATCTTGGGTTCGCTGAATTAGTTTTGTCGAGATGCTCGATTAAACTATAGGCTTGTTTGATTCGACGTTTGTTTGACCTTCTAAATATGTCCAGAAAACTTCCAAGTGTGGTTTAATGATTTGATTTGAGTTTGATTTGACTTGAATAGGACAAATTTTGATATCATCGGGTCTGTTTCGTTGAGTCGATCAGTTTGACGTTAAGTTTGTTGAAATAAAAACTCTGGATAACTTTTTATTAAGGTTTGAATGTTTCTTGCTCAAAATATTACCTCGAGATTTGTGTCATGCCTAAGACTCGTGAAAGATGATGAAAATTTGTTGAGTCCATTCAATTATAAAAATTTGAAAGTGATTTCTAAATAGACAAATAGTCCCCCTTAACTTCGCCAATGCACGAGTCAAACGATTATTGATCGAAAAATTGAATTTTGGGTAGTTGATATGCATCAAACATTAATCATTAATATGAATAAGATTATGATTGGTGAGAAATATCAAAATTAAGGCAATGATGGGTGATTTGCTTGGTAGTCCTCTTAATAGAAGAAGAGATTGCGCAATCAAGAAGGTGAAATTTTTTCTTTGGTGGTTAACGACTGCCTGATGTTACTTTGCAGTAGGCATGAGACAATAGTCAACCAAGATGATATACATCTGATAATAAGGGATCTAGTTAGTCATTTTCTCATTTTCTAAAATTATGGTGACAAAATTTGGTGGCCAATAGATGTCCTATGTTGGTGATTAATAAACATTGAGTATCAATCAATGAGAATACTAGATGTTCGAAATTGGATTGTTGATTATATCATTCTCATTACATGAGAAAATATTACATGAGTGTAAAGTCATGTTTTAGATGACAATGGCTAACATACGTCATACTTTGGGCATTAATAGGCTAGAGGTCGTAGTTGATGAAAACATCAAACGTTAGGTAATTATGAACAATCAATTTAGCTGTTCTTTAAATATAATCTAGATCGATCAACTAAATTGAAGGTCATCAAATATCAAAGATTGAAAAAAATGTCAAATATCAATCAAGCATAAAAATTTTGTGATGATGTATGGCAAATGTTAAAATTTAAAAGAGAGCAGTAGTTGAAATGGTCATTTTACTATTATTATGTCACAATTTGCAGAGCTCCATACCTGCTAGTACGATTTTGTGAGTACCTTCGAAGCACATCAATATTTGTACGAGTTTCCTAGAATGAATATATCCAACCTTAAACTTCAAGCACTCTTGCAGTCAAACTCGTCTACATTACCCCGATTAATATTCCAAACTCATATAAGTTTGTTGACTGTCTCACCAAACTCATTGACAACTATACTAGGCTACACCACCGTAGTCAACAAGTGGCCCTTTGAGGCATAAAATAGAGAATTCCAATATGTTAGCACACTATTACCATCATGATAATCCACACACCAACAGTCTTGTGGACAATGAGTTCACTCTGACTTCGTATTACATGGTGTATAACCTAGTTTAATGTTTTATTCTCTAAACCCATGCACATGTACATAGGCTTCCTAGAAATAAGAAGGAAAAGGGGAAGAAATGGACCCCTCTCTCCTGAACCCTCAAATGAGTCTATAAAAGTTTCTCAGCTTCGTCTTACTCTTTCAACATCTCTCTGAGACAGTATGAGTTCACAAATTATATGTGATCACACGTCCCATAAGGATTCATTGTTCTAAAATGTGTGGTGATTAGGGTTTTCAAAAAAGCTTTTGTTCGCTAATAGCTCATGTTCACCTTGTTAAATAGCACAGGTTTGATTCATTTGCTAAGCAATTGAGCTGAACATGAATAATTTTTTTGAGCTCGATTTATAAACACATTGAACATCAACAAAGTTTTATTTGTTGCTTAAAAATAAATAATTAAATAATAATATTTATTCATATATTTTAATATTAACCTTTTATATAACATAAAAATAATTTTTTTAAAATTTATTTGGGTTGTAAAATTATAAAAATTATAAGTTTAGGTGTTAGATTTTTGTTGTATGTTTGAAAATGTCCTTAAAATAGAGAACTGGAAGATTGTAATCCCATTTCTCTAATTTAAGAAATATAAATACATTAGAGTGGGGGGTATACATGTAAATACCATAAGATTTTTCCAAGAAAAAAATCCCGGAGACCCCTTGTCTTTTATGCTTTTGAATGTAAATACACAAGAATTGGTGGTATGTGACATAAGAATTCCGTCCCATAATATAAAGTAAGAATTCCTCCATATTATTCCATATTTTTTTAATAATTACCCTAATCCCTAACATTTAATAATTAATAATAATAATTACCATGAAACCATATTTTTCAATAAGTCAAAACTATCAAATAATAGTGGCATTGTTTTTTTACCAAAGAAAAAATCAAACAGGTTTAACTTATGTTCAATTTATCTCTCTAAATGTACCTCTAAAATGTTAAAGAAGAGTTATTCTACAATGTCATATATTTTAGCAAAAATATCATCGAATTTCTTAATGAGACATAAGATATATACATATATATATATATATATATATATAT